CCCACCAGGTTCCTCTGTCCATGGAGTTTTCCAGGCAAGAATACTGGAGTGGGTTGCCATTTCCTTCTCCAGGGGATTTTCCTGACCCAGGGATTGAACCCACGTCTCCTGTATCGACATGTGTATTCTTTACCACTAGTGCCACCTGGGAAGCTAATCTTTATACAGATGCTCTTTTTAAAACACCAGGACTTCCCTTGTGGTCCAGTGGCTAAGGCTCCCAGTGCAGGGGCCCCGAGTTCGATCTGTGGTCAGGGAACTAGATCCCACATGTTGCAACTAAGAGTTCACTTGCCAAAACTAAAGATACCATGCACCGCAACTAAGACCCAGAGCAACCAAATAAATATTTTTTAAAAACCCACTTATCAATATATATCATCTCTTACTACAGAGTTTTCTTATTAGTTATACTTAGCTATTCCATGGAAGAGCTTCATGTATATTTAATAAGAATCATGCTGACCTGAATCTCAGGTGAAATTTGCCCCAGGAGAAAGCCCAGATGCCTTGTGTGAGTCCTGGATGGAGATGAGAATCCCTGAGGACCAACAGGGGACACCCCAGGGACGGGACTCAGGTCCAAGCTGATGCTCAGCCTTGAATGTTCACAGCGACTCAGTTCAGTTCAGTTCAGTCGCTCAGTCGTGTCCGAATCTTTGCGACCCCATGGACTGCAGCATGCCAGGCCTCCCTGTCCATCACCAACTCCGGGAGTTTACTCAAACTCGTGTCCATTGAGTCGGTGATGCCACCCAACCATCTTATCCTCTGTCGTCCGCTTCTCCTCCTGCCTTCAATCTTTCCCAGCATCAGGGTCTTTTCAAAAGAATCAGTTCTTTGCATCAGGTGGCCAAAGTATTGGAGTTTCAGCTTCAGCATCAGTCCTTCCAATGAATATTCAGGACTGATTTCCTTTAGGATGGACTGGTTGGATCTCCTTGCAGTCTAAGGGGCTCTCAAGCGTCTTCTCCAATACCACAGTTCAAAAGCATCAATTCTTTGGTGCTCAGCTTTCATTGTAGTCCAACTCTCACATCCATACATGACTACTGGAAAAACCATAGCTTTGACTAGACAGGCCTTTGTTGGCAAAGTAATGTCTCTGCTTTTAATACACTGTCTAGGTTGATCATAACTTTTCTTCCAAGGAGCAAGCGTCTTTTAATTTCATGGTTGCAGTCACCATCGGCAGTGATTTTGGAGCCCCCAAAATTAAGTCTGTTACTGTTTCCACTGTTTCCCCATCTATGTGCCATGAAGGGCTGGGACCAGATGCCATGATCTTTGTTTTCTGAATGTTGAATTTTAAGCCAACTTTTTCATTCTCCTCTTTCACTTTCATCAAGAGGCTCTTTAGTTCTTCTTCCTTCTCTGCCATAAGCGTGGCGTCATCTGCATATCTGAGGTTATTGACATTTCCCCTGGCAATCTTGATTCCAGCTTGTGCTTCATCTAGCACAGCATTTCTCATGATGTACTCTGCATATAAGTTAAATAAGCAGGCTGACAATATACAGCCTTGATGTACTCCTTTCCCTATTTGGAACCAGTCTGTTGTTCCATGTCCAGTTCTAACTGTTGCCTCCTGACCTGCATACAGATTTCTCAAGAGACAGGTCAGGTGGTCTGGTAGTCCCATCTCTTTAAGAATTTTCCACAGTTTGTTGTGTTCCACACAGTCAAAGGCTTTGGCATTGTCAATAAAACAGAAGTAGATATTTTTCTGGAACTCTCTTGCTTTTTTGATGATCCAACCGATATTGGCAATTTGATCTCTGGTTCTTTGCCTTTTCTAAATCCAGCTTGAACATCTGCAAGTTCACGATTCACATATTGTTGAAGCCTGGCTTGGAGAATTTTGAGCATCACTTTACTAGCATGTGAGATGAGTGCAATTGTGTGGTAGTTTGAGCATTCTTTGGCATTGCCTTTCTTTGGGATTGGAATGAAAACCGACTTTTTCCAGTCCTGTGACCACTATTGAGTTTTCCAAATTTGCTGGCATATTGAGTGCAACATTTTCACGGCATCATCTTTTAGGATTTGAAATAGCTCAACTGGAATTCCATGACTTCCACTAGCTTTGTTCGTAGTGATGCTTCCTAATGCCCACCTGACTTTGTATTCCAGGATGTCTGGCTCTGGGTGAGTGATCACACCATTGTGATTAGCTGGGTTGAGAAGATCTTTTGTGTATCGTTCTTCTGTGTATTCTTGCCACCTCTTCTTATATCTTCTGCTTCTGTTAGGTCCATACCATTTCTGTCCTTTATTGTGCCCATTTTTGCACAAAATGTTCCCTTGGTATCTCTAGTTTTCTTGAAGAGATCTCTAGACTTTCCCATTCTGTTGTTTGCCTCTATTTCTTTGCACTGATCACTGAGGAAGGTTTTATTATCTCTCCTTGCTATTCTTTAAAACTCTGCATTCAAATGGGTATATCTTTCCTCTTCTCCTTTGCCTTTCATGTCTCTTTTATTCACAAATATTTGTAAGGCCTCCTCAGACAACCATCTGGCTTTTTTGCATTTCTTTTCCTTGGGGATGGTCTTGTTTCCCACCTCCTGTACAATGTCACGAACCTTCATCCATCGTTCTTCAGGCACTCTATCAGATCTAATCCCTTGAATCTATTTGTCACTTCCGCTGTATAATTGTAAGGGATTTGATTTAGGTCATACCTGAATGGTCTAGTGGTTTTCCCTACTTTCTTCAATTTAAGTCTGAATTTGGCAATAAGGAGTTCATGATCTGAGCCGCAATCAGCTCCTGGTCTTGTTTTTGCTGACTGTACAGAGCTTCTCCAACTTTGGCTGCAGAGAATATAATCAATCTGATTTCGGTGTTGACCATCCGGTGATGTCCATGTGTAGAGTCTTCTCTTGTGTTGTTGGAAGAGGGTGTTTGCTATGACCAGGGCATTCTCTTGGCAAAACTCTGTTAGCCTTTGCCCTGCTTCATTCTGTATTCCAAGGTCAAATTTGCCTGTTACTCCAGGTATTTCTTGACTCCCTACTTTTGCATTCCAGTCCCCTATAATGAAAAGGACATCTTTTGGGGATGTTAATTCTAGAAGGTCTTGTAAGTCTTCATTGAACCGTTCAACATCAACTTCTTCAGCATTACTGGTCGGGGCATAAACTTGGATTACTGTGATATTGAATGTTTGTCTTGGAAACAAACAGAGATCATTCTGTCATTTTGGGGATTGCATCCAAGAACTGCATTTCAGACTCTTTTGTCAACTATGATGAAGAGACGGAGCCAAAGCAAAAACAACACCCAGTTGTGGATGTGCCTGGTGATAGAAGTAAAGTCCGATGCTGTAAAGAGCACTATTGCATAGGAACCTGGAATGTTAGGTCCATGAATCAAGGCAAATTGGAAGTGGTCAAACAGGAGATGGCAAGAGTGAACATCGACATTTTAGGAATCAGCGAAATAAAATGGACTGGAATGGGTGAACTGAACTCAGATGACCATTATATCTACTACTGTGGGCAAGAATCCCTTAGAAGAAATGGAGTAGCCATCATAGTCAACAAAAGAGTCTGAAATGTTCACAATAGATCTGGGCTAAAACAGGGGCTCACACACCAAAGGTTGCCCAGACAGCTTCGCCTGGCCTTGAGGGGTCAGAGGGCACATGGGGAGTAGAGGCAGGGACCCCCATGTCTCCTGGCATTGGAGGGACCTCTAATGGGAGGATAGATCTGGGCATCTGGATCCTCTGAAACGTGGGCAGCTCCAGGGGGCTTCGGGGTTCTTCACGTGAGAACGGTGTTTCTCATGAAGGAACTGGAGGGTTGACCAGGGGATGTGAAGGGAGCCTGAAGAACAAACACAGGGAGGTGGGATTAAAACCCATCTGCCCCTCTCTAGTGCAGAGAGCATCACCTGGGCCCTGTGGGTCCCGTTAGTCCCTGGGAGAGGGCTGACGAGATCCAGGGGCTCACAAGATCCAGGTGATTCTCTGGACCGAGTCCCAGAGGCCCCCACAGGCCCCTTCAGGCTCCTGAACTCTGGGGACTCCCAGTGTGTGACCTGAAGTGGGCTTGTTACAGGTGTAGAAAAGGGGGATCCCTTTGGAGCAGGTTTGGAAAGAGTTGGTAGATGGGATGGGTGTCCCAGATCCACTGGTCCCCGCTGCTGCCCCCAGGCCAGAGGAGGGGCAGGCCTGACCACATCCAGCTTTGTCTCCCCTGGGCCTCCACTCACCCTGAATCTCAGTGGGCAGAAGCCCCCACAGCCACAAACCCCATCCAGGCTGGATGTCTAGGGAAGGAGGCAGGACAAGCGGGGCAGTCACTGGTGCCCCGGGGAGGGCCCCAGGAGATTGAAACCAGCAGTGGGTGGGTGGGGGAGCCCCAGTCCAGGTCCCCACTGAACTCCCACGAGCGGCACCTGCAGGAAGGTGACCAGCCACGACTTCAGGAACCTCGCACCCTCCCTCCTCCCCTGAGGGGTGAGGACGGGGGTACAGATGTGACCCAGGCATCAGGGGCCAGCCACTTGCAAACATACTTTAGAAATGAGGTGTACAATTATAATTTTTTAAAAAGCGTCAGGCCGAACACAGCCAGAAAGAGGACGCAAGAAGAAAGTAAAAGGAAGAAGCAAACCAAAGAATCAAACCCAAACTTAAGAAGAAGTGGCGAGAAAACAGGGAACAGAGAAAGTGGGGGTGGGACCCAACCTTTGTGTTTCCAATTAGCCTATTGTGGTGACGCTCTGGGGACAAGGGCTGGTGACAATGAGCAAAACGTGGCTGGAGGAAAAGGAGCTGGCTGGGTGGCGAGCAAATTGTGTCTCACAAATGCAGTGATTTGTTTTCACAAATCAAACCTCTCTCATTTCAGATCACAAGGGAAAAGTCTTGGATAGCGGCCAGTCTGTTGGCACTGGGGACCCAGGACAGCTCAGAGAGCCTGACAGTTAAGTCAGCGCCCTGAGTCTGGGGGTGTCGGTTCCCTGCCCCCTCCCCACCACCCAGGGACCTCAGCCTCCACTGCTAGGCTGTCGCCTTGGTGCTGGCCCTGAAACCAAGCTCGATCCTCCTTGTCCTGTGGCCTTTGGGTGATGGGGGTCCCTGGGGTGCAGCACTTGGCGGCCCCCTGCTCTGGCCTGACTCCCTGAAGCCAGAGGGACCTCATGGGCTGCTTCCTGGCCCCTGCCTCTCAGCTCGCGGCTCTGGTGGCTGGAGGGGCAACCGCCAGGCCAGGGCTTCCCTTTTCCACAAGCTGGGTGTGTCCTTGTCTGGCGCTGTTGCTGGGCCCCAGATACCTCTACCCAGAACATCCAGCTGGACCCACGGACGCCCTCCCCATTCACATGCCCAGTTCCCAGGACGGAGCCACAGGCCCCATTCTGAGCCAAACCTGACCGAGGCCGGAAGTCTTCCCCGCTCTGACACGGTCCCTGTGTGGGGGGCCTCTAGTCACACAGCCTTGAAGTTTGACCCCAATGGGCCTGCTCTGATCTCTGTGCCCCTAACGTACTCTCGCCTGCTCCTCCCTGCACAGATGGGGGTCTCCTCTCTGGTTTCGACCCAGTTTCCTCTCCAGGGACCTGCTTGGTGTTCAGTGCAGACGAATTAGGTCAGACTTGCAGCTTCAATCCTTCCTGTCCTCTGTAAAGGCCTGGGGGACCTGGAACCGTCTCCTCCTCACACCAAGCTCCCCACCTGCCGGCCCCACCCCCGGGACTGCTCCTTTTCCATTTGCCTCCCTCCCACTCACTTTTCTGTCTGGCTGTTCTGACCCTCTACCCTTTCTTCCTCACTTCTAGTTGAGGTTTCCTGACCGCACCAAACAGCCAAAAGCACAGTCACCTTCTTGGGTGCTTCCCCAGCAGGGCTGCCCCAGGTGCCCTCTTCCGAGGTCCCTTCAGCAAGAGGAGGTGAGCAGGACAGAGTGTGTCCCTGCCTCCTGGCCAGACCTGGAGAGAGGGATGAGCCTCCTACATCCACATCTTCACCCCTGAGTAGAGGGAGAGTGTGCTGACCATCCTGGACTGTGGCCAGGCCTGTCAACCCTGCAGGTCAGGCTGCAGACACCCTCCCTTCGGCCCTCCGGGATCCAGATTCCTCACTGCACGTGGGAGTGGGGGACGCCATCACCTCCCAGGTCAAATGGCGTCTGTCTGCACCGTAGTCTGTTCTGTCCGCGGCCCTCCGTAAAGTCCCAACATCGATGATGGGGGTGGGTTTTGAAGCTCCATGCTGGTCTGTGCTCCCAAGTTCCCAACAATTTAAAGAATGCCGGAGGTCTGGGGTCAGAATGTAAACAAGGCATCGCACAGCATCAGCGAGGGCAGTGACCTCGCCGTGAACCGCGGGGTGTCCCTGACGCCTCAGAGGACCGTTTGTGTCTTCCGTCTCATGAAAACACAACAGCTTGGCTCTTACAAGTGTGAAGTTCAAGTCTTAAGTTAACCAGCTTTCAAGTTCCAAAAAAATTGCCTACTTGTTATTTTTTCTTATGGAGTTTTTTCTCTTCGTAGGCGTGTGGCGTGGGTCAGAAACCCTGACACGGACCATCTCGGCACTGCTGCCCTGGTTGCAAGAGGATCAACCCGGAGGGCAGCTGGAGGTCCAGGACGGGACCGGTGTCTGTCCCCGAGAGACCTCCCTGGCCGGCCCCAGGGGCAGAGGGACAGCTCTGAAAGGGGCTCCTCTGAGGACAAGGCCGCAGTGAAGAAAAGGCAGCGTGCAAATGTCAAGGGGGAGGGAAAGAAGCTGGCTTTGTAGGAAGACATTCCCCAGGAAGAAAGCGGGGATTATTCGAGATCTGATGATTCTGCCATAAGAAACAGAAGCTCTGATAGGAAAATATATACACAAGGGCATGCCGAGGCGGGGGTAGGGTGGGGGCAGTGGTGGTGGCGGGAGAGTAGCACCCACATCCTGAACTTTCATACTGTTTCCATTTTCTCAGCTCGCTTGTGCATTATTCTTAGAAAAAAGTGAAGTTGCTCAGTCCTGTCCGACTCTTTGCAACCCCGTGGGCTGTAACCTACCAGGCTTCTCTGTCCATGGGATTAACCAGGCAAGAATTCTGGAGTGGATTTCCATTTCTTTCTCCAGGGGATCTTCCCGACTCAGAGATTGAACCTGGATCATCTGTATTGCAGGCAGACGCTTTACCATCTGAGCCACCAGGGAATCCCAGAAAGAAAGAAAAAAAAATCTGATATGAAGAAAGTTATTTGGGAAGGACTGAGGCCATGTGGATGTTGCATAAGCAGGGCAACTTGTTATCTCTGCAAACCCAGGGCACGGCCCCAGACACCGCCTCCCAGGCTGCGAGTTGGACAGTATCGAGAACATCAGAGTCACCTCCTGAGTCCCCGAGAATCCGCAGGCTCTGGAGCTGCAGCTGTGCCCCCTGCCCTCCCGGTCCCTGCCTCCGGTGCGAGGGCTGGGAGACTCGCAGTACCAACCTGTCTGAAGATCAGTTACCCGGATCCCAAGAGGAGCGGTTGTCCTAAATCACAGAATTAGTCTGACAGAAGAAAAGAGAGGGAGTATAAAGTGGGTTCTAGAACAAAAGTCATGATTCTGTAACGTGGCTCAGGAGGTGCAAAGCCGAACCCCTACCCTGCTCAAGGGTTAGCATTGCATGCTGTTTTTGCAGGATGGCCCCTTCATGGATCACTGCCTTGTGGCTTGTCTGGCGTGCTGCAGTCCATGGGGTTGCAAAGAGTCGGACACGAATTGCCAACTGAACAACAACTTGCAGGATGGAGAGGCACCCTGGGGGACCCAGCCCTGTCCTTTGGGATGGTCCTGGGGCTCTGGCCACTCACATCTGGACTTCCCTGGGCAGAGCAGACACCTGGAGCCCCCAGCCCCCAGCACCCCGTGTCTGATTTCCTCTGAGTCTCTGGAGTAGAGGTGGGTTTACCTGGAGCTGGGCCACCAGTGGAGAGAGAACAATCCTGAGATGAATCCAGAATGTTCCAGCCACTCTACCAAGAAGAGGGAGGAACGGGCAGGTGGCCAAGCCGTGGGTGTCTGGAAAGCCACAGGGCCTGTCACAGCGGCCACCACACGAGGGACACACAGAAGCCCTGCCTCATTTCCCAGAGACCAAGGACAGCGGCTGCAACGAGGAGCCGAGAAGGGGACTCACTTCACAGTTGGTGTGGGCCCAGTAGAACAATGTGCCTTCCCTTCTGGGGTCACTGGGCACGGAGCAGGGGGGCCTGAGCGGATGAGGGAACCAGCCCAGCCTCTGCTCACTGGTGACTCCACCAGGAGCTCAGCCAGGAAGGTGCCCCCAGGCTGTAGTTTAGAGTGCTTATGGCCTGGGCTCCCTGGTGACAGAACTTGGACAGGCCCCTCTGGGTGTGTCATTCTAACTGGCAGGGCTCTGAGTCAGATTCTGGAGAGGAGCCAGTAAGACTCCCCCAGATCTTCACAAGCAGCTCTCAAAAGTTGCGGGGAGGACCCGGCAAACAGTGCCTGGTCAGGACCCACATTCACTGCTTTTAAAACAAAGCACTTCTCTGCTCTTGCTGAAAAGACCACATGAGCCCACCAGGCAAGGCCTGCTAACAGGCCATCAGGATCCCCTCATCCGGGCAGTTCCTGTCCCACTGTTTATGCTTAACTAGTTTAGATAGGAATAAAAATGTTAACAAGGAGGGCAGCCGCCAAAACCCACATGGTTCCAACCAATCAGCTAGAGCCTGTAGGCATGTTTTCATCTCTTACTAGCATTTATAACTAGATTGTATTTGACTCCAATAACATTTTTCATTATGGCTCTGTAAGGGAGAGGAAAACAGAAATGCCAAGAAGGGAGGGTCTGTCTGGGTGGCCCTTGTTTGTAAAGTACATCTCCCAGATCTGACTGGGATCCTCACTGTGGCCACTCCCCATTCCAGAGGCTGGGGTCAGCAGGAGTGTCGGGGCCCCAGTTCAGCGTGGCCTGGGACCAACACAAGGAGAAGAGCACATAGACACAGCGGTGGGAACTGGCCAAGCCCACCCTCTGGCATCCACCCTGCCCTCCCCTCCCCTGCACTCTAATCTGGCACCGACACCCAGCTGTGCCCCTGGAGGTAGGATTCCACCACGCCGCCTATGCTGACCACACTGCAGCCCCAACCCCAAGCATCACTCTTTGTAGGAGACACAGTAGAGAAGTGCCGAATACTGAGGAGTCTGGGCTCCAGCACACTGAGGGTTTGTCTTTCCTGTGGTGGAGGAGGGCATCTCTGCAGTCAGGCTGGCTGCCCTCCAGCCAGCATCGGAGGAAAGAGGTTGGAATGCTTGTATCCAGGCCATGTGCGGAGTTCACCAAAGTCCAGATAGGTTCAGGGTCAAGGAAAACAAAAAAGGGAAGAAGCTAACATTTACGGAGCCCTTTCTAATGCCAGTCATGTACTGGGTGCATAGCTGTGTCATCGCATGTGACCAAAAAGCCCAAGTGAGATGATCACCCAAAGGGAGCTACCGGGGATCAGCTTAAGAGGCAGGGTCCAAGGCAAGGAGCAGATGCTATGAAGCGGAAGCAATGTGAAGGGCCAAAAAGGACAGGAAATACCAAAATCAGGAATAAAAGAGGAGTCAGTTACCACTGACCTTACAGACATTAAAAGAAATATAAAACAACACTATGAACAACTCTATACAAATAAATTAGACAGCTTAGATGAAATGGATAAATTCCAAGAAAGACATAAATTACCAAAACTGACTCAAAAAGAGATAGAATCTGAATATGTAAAGATATTCAATTAATAATATCATCCCACAGGAAAAACCAGTTGACTCCATTGGTGAATTCTACCAAATATTAAAAGAAGAAATGACACTGATCGTTCACAAACTTTTCAAAAAATAGAAGTGGAGGGAATACATCTTGATTCATTTGATGAAGTCAGTATTATCTTGGTATTCTAACCAAAGACAACACAAGAAAAGAAGACTATAGGCTAGTAAGCCTCATGAATATAGACGCAATAGACTTTCCTGGCAGTCCAGTGGTTAAGACTTCACTTTCCAATGCAGGGGGTCCAAGTTTGATCCCTGGTTGGGGAGCTAACATCCCACATGCCTCATGGCCAAAAAACCAAAAACATAAAACAGAAGCAATATTGTAACAAATTTAAGAAAAACTTTAAAAATGGTCCACATCAAAGAGAATCTTAGACAAATACTGTACAATATCACTTAGATGTGGAATCTAAAAAATACAGCAAACTGATGAAAAGAGCAAAAAAGTAACAGAATCATGGATATAGAGAACAAACTAGTGGTTACCAGTGGGGAGAGGAAAGGGGGGAGGGACAATAAAGGGGCAGGGGACTGAGAGGTACACAAACTGTTATGTATACAATAAGCTACAAGGACATATTATACAGTATGCGGAATATAACAGCATTTTATAATAATTATAAATGGAATATAACCTTTCAAAGTTGTGAATCACTGTACTGTACACTTGTAACTTATATAATATTATACATTAGACTTTAATAAAGCAGTTAAATGTATTTAAATATATAAGAAAAACTGTGCTAAGTACCTCACGTGCATGTGTGCATGCTAAGTCACTTCAGTCATGTCCAACTCTTTGCAACCCTATGAACTGTAGCCTGCCACGTCCCTCTGTTCATGGGTTTCTTCAGGCAAGAATACTGGGGTGGGTTGCTATGCCCTCCTTCGGGGAACTCAGGGACTGAACCTGCATCTCCTGCAGCTCCTGCATTGCAGGTACATTCTTTACTGCTGAGCCACTGAGGAAGCCCTAAGTACCTCACATATTCTGTTATTTAATACAAAATTTTTAAAAAGTAGTAAGTCAATGGCTTTAAGCACATGAAAAGATGTTCAGTATCCTTAGTCATCAGAGAACTGTAAATTAAAGACCACAATGAGATACTACTCATATCCACTGAAATGACTACTATCAAAAAGATACAATAACAAGTGTTGGCCAGGACGTAGAGGAACTGGAACACTCAAACATTTCTGGGGGGAAAGAAAAAGTGGAAGAGTTATGTTGGAAAATAGTTTGGCAGTTTCTTTGAAAGTTAAATATAAACTTACTATTTTAACCAAGTGATTCCACTCCTTGGTATCAACCATGGAGAAATGAAAACATGTCCTCACAAAGACTTGAATGTGAATGTTCACAGCAGAATTATTTATAATGGCTGAAACCTGGAAACAATTCAAATGTCCATTAGCTGGTGAATAAATAAACAAGATGTGGCCTATGCACACAATGGGATTCAATTCAGCAATGTAAAGGAACAAACTACTGATGCATGCTACATGGATGAACCTCAAAACAAAAGACTACCTATTTTATTATTCCATTTATATGAAATGTCCATAAAGGGCACATTTATAGGGACAGTAAGCAGATTAGTGGTTGCCTGGAGATGAGAGGGGTTTGGGGCATTGAGTGCTGATGGGCATGAGGAATGTTTTGGGGGTAATGAAAATTTTCTAAAACTTTCAGGGTTATGGTAATCACTCCACACTTTATAAATTAGCTAAAAAGCATGCATTTTACACTGAAATGAGTTTTATGCACATTATAGCTCAATAAAGCTGTCTTGTTTTTTTGTTTTGTTTTGTTTTTTGCTTTTTTTTTTGGTAAAGCTGTTTGTAAAAAGCAACATCAGGGACACTACAGACCAGTGTTGCTGCAGTTTGGAAGAAGAGTATACAGTGAGGACAGGAGGAGGCTAGAGGGGTGCCCCTCTCAGGGGACTGACTTACAATAACCCAACCCCTAGATACTGATGTACAAACCAAATATGCTGACACTTCGCTCATCTGCCCACCAGTATTTTCTCATTCCGTAGGCAACAAATCAAAGGAAGCCAAGTTATAATCAGAAAATTAACAGAGAATCAGTACTAGGGAAATAGACAAATGAGCCCAAGAGAAGAATTGTTAATAGGTAGTGAGGATGCCCACCTCCACCACAGGACTGTGCCTCTCATGAAGTTCTGAACCCCACATTCAGGGCCAAAGCACCCTCCTTCCAAGCAATGCTGAAGAACAAAGCCAGATCTGTCTCCCTGCACTCCCTTTTCTAGGTGCCATGCAGGCCACACCCAATCACTTAAACATCTTCCCTTCTCCAGGGGATCGTCCCCACCTGGGGATCAAACCCAGGTCTCCTGCATCGCGGGCAGATTCTTTACTGTCTGGCCACTAGGGAAGCTCCACTTTTCAAGCAGAGCAATACAGTGCCTTAGAGAGGCACTTCTGTATCAGCACATACAACGTAAATACTTCACAGTCAGAGCCAATCTGTTAGGCCATTTCCCAAATGGTTCAAATCTTACATTTGGATTCTCCTTAACCTCATTTATTTGGGGAGCATTATGTGCCAGTCTGGGTCAGCATCCCTGCTTCACGATAACTCTCCCTGGCCTGGGCTGTGGTCCTCAAGGACTCAGCACTTCTCTGTTGGAGTTTCTCCAGGCAGTGAGGCAACAGCACCAAGGAAGTCACTACATGACAGCTTAGCCAGTCCCCAAATTTCTCAGGGACCCTGTGGTGTCCAGTGAGCTAAAACACACATGGCCCCCTGCCCAGTCCTCCGCCAGACTTCTGTTTGCACACAAAGGGTTAGAGACCCGGCGGAGCATGAAAGACGCCCAAGCCTCCACACCCAGATTCCTCAGCAGACTCCTACAGTAGGAGTGTTGAACAGTGCTTCTGTGATGGACTGGGGATGTGGCCCAAGCACGTGGCCCAAACATGAAAACCTCAGAGTCGGGGTAATTGGGTGGTGGAGCCCTGGGCTTGTCTGCTGAGTGGTGGGTAATGGTCCCTAGACCGCTCGCCCAGGGCAGCTGCAAGGATGGGCAGCTGGCTCCACTCCTGCCAGGGCCACTGATGCCCTAGAACTGTGGCTGTGTGTGTGGTGGGGACCAGAGCTCCAGGAGCCCAGTTGGTCTGAGGCTTGTGAACACCGTGTTGGCACCTCTGGGAGCTGGGCATGGTGTGGATTGCCCAGCGGCCAGCAAGCCCCACAAAGGTGCCTGCCCATGTGGCCTGGCAGCGGCCAGCTCTGCTAGGCAACTGCAGCCTCATCTCCTGGTGGCCTCTGCTTCTTAGCTTTGTGTTGCTGGGGGCAGCCACTCAGGAAAAATGCAGGCATGACCCGTGTCAGGCCATGCAGATTATGCCTCCCCGGCGCTCACAGAAGAGTCTCCAAGCAGTGTTTACTAAGAGTCAAAGGCAGAACACAGAATCACCAGCTGGGGCTCCCAGGTCCCTTCTGAGCTGGAAGGGAAAGACTACACCCCAAACGCCTGGGAGCACGGACAGCTCCTGCCTCCTAGCTGACTGTCCAGCCTGCTGTGAGGTCACTGAGAGCCATCAGCCTTCCTAGCCTCTACCATGGAGGCAGCGAGGCCAACAGGAACTTTCCTGTGGGCGGCCCCGTGCTTGGCAGCGGGGGTGTGAAGTGAGGACCTGGCCGCACTTTGCTCAGCACCAGCACCACTTCCTGAGGGTTACGTGGGGGATCTGGAGAGGGCATTAAAGTCTTCTTGTAATTAAAAACACAGACAACTTCGAAAATACATACGACAAACACTAAGGACCAGCTGAGGTGGAGAGATCAAAGGAAAGTGGAAAAGAAAAGAAAAAAATAATGGAAGCAGAGAGAAAATTGGCAGGATGGGGAAAGGAGGAAAGCAGCAGAGAGAATGGGTAGAAATTGCAGGGACCAGGGCAAGTCAGTGAGTGTCCGCAAACCAGCCTGTCCAGCCATGCTCTGCAATCCTTGAAAGGTTTACCCCAAGAGTTGTTCCTGGATCCCTAGTTCACCAGTTAGCTGAGCTGTGACCAAATTCACATCCGATTAGCTTTTATCAAGCACTGAATATGTAAAGCTTTGAACACATAGTTCTGCCTGGGCAGATTCTAATGGAAGGAGCCCCAGCAGGAGATGATGGGAGACATATTTTGTTCTTAGGAGTCCCGTGGTTGACTATGACCTGCGGAGACCCACACCCAGCTGGCCGGAAGCTCATCTGTGCTGTCCACTCAGCTAGGAGGTGGGGGCCCTTCTATGGTGAGGAAACTGCTCCTTAGCATAAGGATTCATACGACCAAGGTCACAGACAGCAGGCTGCAAGGAAAATATTCCAGTCCAGGTCTTCTGACCACATTCAGGGATTTCAACTGCTCTACATGAGTAGAAAGGATCAGACTGTGGCCCAGAACAGCCCAAGGCCTGAGGCAGACTCTGACGGCTTTTGGGGTGTCTAAACCTGAGTTTGGTGTGAAAGTGTATGGCTTTCTGGGAAGCAAATCTAGAGCTTTGAAGATCTTTTCCTTTTTCTTTTTAAAATTTCCCTTTACTTAAATGCATATGTAATTTTCAATAAAATGTCATCAGATGTTATCACATTATGAGTCTTCAGTGTTTTGTTTCCTCCTCCTCTTTTTTTAACTTTTAATTTTATATCGGAGTATAGCTGATTACAATGTTGTGATAGTTTCAGGTCCATAGCAAAGGGACTCAGCCATCCACACGCATGTATCCATTCTGCCCCAACCTTCCCTTCCATCTAGGCTACCACATAACCTTGAGCAGAGTTCCATGTGCTATACAGTAGGTCCTTGTTGGTTATCTCTTTTAGATATAGCAGTGTGTATATGTTGATCTCAAACTCCCTAACTATCCCTTTCTCCCATCCTTTCCATCCTCCTCTGTTTTTGCCCTGCTGATCCTTCTTTCTCCCCCAGCATACCAACCCCAAGCCCTTCCTAGGTAACCCAAGTTAACAAAAACTTGTGTGCACCCCATGTTTAACTTCATGTTTATATGCATCATATGCAAATATGCAGTGGTTGAGCGAGACAGGAAGCAGTGCCAGCTGTACCCGCTGGCAGGGAGAAGTGTTTTATCACTAACAGGGTTTAGAATTGCTGATGCGAGGTGACACTAAAAAGGAGACAAACTTCTAGGCACTTGTATTATTGCTTTAAGATTCTCTACAGACAAGGTACCAAATTATGGTCTACACCTGGGATAGACTGCACCATCTTCCCACCTTGGTATCACACTGGAAACACACACACAGATGGAGACAAATGAGAACTTGTCACCCCATTTTTGTAAAACTGTCACCCCTTCCATGTCAACATTGTGCTCATTCATGTCTTTGTGTGAATAAAAATACATGTTAAATTTGATAGATGATCTATTATTTCTCAACCATGTTGCATTGATGGGACCCATATTGCTTTTAGTTTTTATTGTGTCTTCTTTCTTGAAGACTATTTTCTCTTTCTTCCTGTTTCCCAGAGCAAGCACTCCCCACTGGGTCTTTAGTCCTTGGAAGTCTGACCCAGGTAGGCTGAGTTTTGTTTTTTTTTTTTTTTGAGGCTGAGTTTTTTCCCCTCATCTCCAGCTCTGAGATCACAAGCCCAGGATGCCTGCAGCCTTTAAAGCCTCTTGAAGAAACCATTTATACTTGAGCCTCTTCCTCGAACTTTTAGAGCCTGCAGATCTTTATCAGCAAAGTTGCTGTTGTTGTTTAGTTGCTAAGTCGAGTCTGACTCTTTGCAACCCTGTGGACTGTAGCCCTCCAGGCTCCTCTGTCTACGGGATTTCCCAGGCAAGAATACTGGAGTGGGTGGCCATTTCCTTCTCCAGGGGATCTTCCTGACCCAGGGGTTGAACTTGCTTCTCCTGCATTGGCAGGTGGATTCTTTACCACTGACTCACCAGGGAAGTCTTTACCCGTAAAGGGTTTTAGGTAATTCTCCCTTTTCACATTTTTTTCATCTTTTATTCTTAAAACAATGAGCTTGCACAGGAGACAACCTTAAGAGTAGTGTGTTCCAAGCAGAGATGGGTGCCCTCTCCCTCCCCCACCCCCAGAATTGAACCAATGGAAAATCTCCCAGTGACATTCCCTCCCTTCACAGTTGGATCACCCACCACATCCCAAGATGACATGTATCATGCCAAGGTTGGCCTGAAAATAAAGGCTGAATGTCCCTTTGAAAAATAATTGACCCGGAAACTTCAGAAGAGACACAGTCCACAATCTGCCATCACCCTAGCCTTCCGCGGGGCTTGTGGGTTCCCAATACATCTCACATCTGTTCTCTCCATGAGCTGAAATATGACTGTACTACATGGAAAACCCAGAACCAGACCCAATCTTGGAGGCTGTTTGCACCTCCTGTGCCCACGCGGGACTCATTTCAGCAGCTTGAACTTCCCTTGCCTGGTTTCTTCCCTTTCCTTTTTTTTTTTTTAAATTAAAAATTTTTTTTTTCTTTCTTTCCGTTCCCCCATCATAACCCATGCGGTCTTCCCCCAGGTTGTTCAGTGAAAATTACAGGGTTTGGAGGTTGCTACCAGCACAGAGCTGAATCCAAGCAAGTTCCTTAAGATGAAATTGTACTTTAAAAGGTGAGGAGTCAGGGCGCTGGAGCCCATGCCCTGGTCCTGCTCTTCCTGCCTCTGACATGAGGATGGTCTAAGCATCACCTTCCTCCTCTAGAAGCCTCCTTCTCACCTGCACTGTCTCTGGATGAGGGATACTATATAGGCAAAGCAACCATAGTGTTGACACAAATCAGGTGGTCAATGAACCTATCTACAGACTATAAAGCCTTTTCCTTTTTTTTTAATTTATCATATTCAATTTATAAAACTAATAGAAAACACTTTATGAGACAGTAAGCTGGTAGTGTGGAGACCAGCGATGTTTGACGGGCACTGTGGGTGATGCAAAGACTTCTCAGTGAATCCCTGTTTACGTCCCCTGCTCACGTCCTTGTCCTGCCTGTCTGATCCCAAGCCCAGCCACCATGCAGGTCCCTCCCTCCAACCCAGGGCTCCAACCACCTCCTAGGGCCTTGCTGTGTCTATGGGTTTACTCTCTCGGATAGTAGTGTTGCTTGATTCGAGTGGACGAGGCCACCACGGGGAGCCAGCTCCTAGGAGAAGCTGTGAGGTCCCACCCAGAGGGATGGAGCTCTCAAGTAACATTAGAGGAAGAGGAGAAAGTGAATTCAGAATGAGCTCCATGTGATTCTGTGGGTGAGGTATTAAGGACCCTTGACCAACCCAGACTAATCGCTTTGATTTGCCTGGATCCTATTCAGGCATTCTTCAGGGAGAAAGTCACACAAAAGAGTATTAATCACCAGGAAAATTGCATCCTGGTACATCCTGATGTAGTTCATGTGTAGCTATGTCTCCCCTCCAACTTCCCTTTCACTCCCTGACATCTCACCACGCAAATAACAGAACGGGAAGTGAGAGTGAGGGACGGGGACTGGGGTGGGGTTTCCTGCCTATGATCTGAGCCACCCTGGGGGGACCTTCCCCTACTCAGGACAAATCCCCACTCTTTCATCACCGCCAAAACCCCAGCATCACAGGTGGAAACTTCAGAGTCCGTCATCACTCATTACACCATGCAGCTTGGTATTTTGACTATGACTGACATATAACTCCCTAGCAAGATAAAACTAGTTGAGGTGAAAGTTGCTCCATGGTGTCTGACTCTGCAACCTCACGCACTATAGCCCGCCAGGCTCTTTGCATCCGTTGGATTTTCCAGGCAAGAATACTGGAGTGGGTTGCCATGCCCTTCTCCAGGGGATCCTCCTGACCCAGGGATCAAACCCAGGTCTCCTGCACTGCAGGCAGATTCTTTACTGTCTGAGCCACCAACATGAAATCAGTTATCAAAGCATGTAACACTACGGCTTCTCTTTAGATTTCCCATCATTGTTGCCTCCTTCCACCGCGCTCCAGTGCAGTGAGACAACACCAGGGCATAACCGTCCTGACTGTGACATCACAGGGTGCAGCAGGATCCTCTTGCTGTGCTTGTCAGGGATGCATTTTATGGAAGTAACTTACTCAAGTGACCGTGTCTCTGGAGAGAGCCCCCACATGCGCTGGAATGTGGCTCCATGCAGGGTTCTAAGGCCACAGCCTTCAGCCCTGGCATCTCCTGGTCTGTGCAGCAGATTAGTGACCCGTGGACATCAGAGTTTCTGTGCAACCTTTGGGAACAGGTAGATGAGGATGGCCTCTGTTAGACTTACAGCCTCTCTATCACTGACTGTGTATGATCCAGGCCCCCAGGCTCATCAAGGGATATTTCATAGCCCTGACTGAAGACCACGGGCAAACTTCAGACACCAGGGTGGGTGGTTTGCCTGGGTTACCCCAGGCAATGGGGTGACTACAGCCACTGTGGTACACATGGGTCCAATGGGGATGTGGGCTTGCACTGCCCTGTATGGACCCGTGGCTTGATCACAGCCAATCAAGATGGAAGTTGTTGTTCAGTCACCAAGTTGTGGCCGACTCTTTGCAACCCCACGGACTGCAGCATGCCAGGCTTCCCTGTCCTTCACTATCTCCCAGAGTTTGCTCAAATTCATGTCTATTGAGTTGGTGATGCTATTTAACCTTCTCATCAACATGGAAGGTAGGGGTGCAAAGGACTGCATACAGCTCCTGGAGGGCCTCATGCCTGCTTGTCTCAGCTCAGCTGGTGTCTGAAACTGGCTGGGCAATGAGTCAGGTGGAGGGCACTTACTGAGTCAGGTGGAGGGCACTTACTGATTTTCTAGAATTTCCTATCAGAATACCCATATCCCCAGGAAGGAAAAGACTCTAAGGTCTAAGTTGAGACCACATTCAAGGGATTTGCTGACCATGAGTTGGGGGAAAGGGAAGGAAGATGAGTCCGAGGGGTATCAGGAAGAGAAAGAGGAGCTTTGGAGAGAATGACTGATTTACTTGCTTTGTAACTTGCCCAGTAGGGGCTTTGGTAGGTAGGGTGTGGGCACACAGGGGTACAGGGACAGTGTGGGACTGTGGGATGGCCACACAGACTCCCCCAGTTCTAGGAACCACTCTGCTGTGACCGAGCACCTTTGCTCTGCAGCTACAGAGAAGTCAGAGAGCCAAGGCCATGTACTGCTGAGCACTAAGCCATATGCTGCCTGGTTTAGAACTCAAACCGCTGTACATACATGCAGCTTGTCCTAGGCCAAAATGAATATTAGTAATTCATGAACTATCCT